ATTTGTGTAAAAACACTTCAGGAAGAGCCAGGCACCGCCAGCATCCAGTGCAAGCTTGTGCTTACCTAGAGGCAACCCCGGCACAGTGTCCGAGACGACAATTATTGCAGTGAGAACTACATGCACGCCTCTTTACAGGGTCGTGAACGTTAAAAAGCCTTTTGCGTTGCAGCAACGTTACGTAGGTTCATTAGGTTACGCAAACGCGGGAAGAATATGTCAACAGGTCTCTCTGCTCCACGAGTACTTCAGCCCTCCCTGTAGCTCCTGCTTATGCTCCTTCGCAGGGAGCGGGCAACTCATTTGAGTCTAACCTGCAGGAGCCCTCCAAAAGCACAGCACATCTTTCCTCAAGACAATCCCGTCAGGCACGGGGCCACACTCACCCGGTCGAGGTACTGGGGAAGGATAGCAGCCACCAGCCGAGCCGTGTTCTCGCTGATCTCTGACGGCTTCACCACCACAGCATTGCCTACAAGACAAACCCAGCGGGGCCCCTCAGCCCTCGCGCTCCTCTCCCGCCTCCCACCCACGGCCCCACGAAGGACGGGGGCTCTGGCGGGTCCCCACCTGCTGCGATGGCCCCAATCAAAGGCTGCATGACCAGGACAAAGGGGTAGTTCCAGGCCCCGATGATCAGCACCACCCCCAGCGGCTCGGGGCAGATGTAGGCCTCGTCCCGCATCGTCAGCAGGTTCTTCTTCACAGGCTGAGGGGCTGCCCAGGACGGCAGCTTGTCCATGGCCAGGGCCAGCTCCCCCAGCACGCCCAGGATCTCATGGCTGTACGCGTTGGACGCACTCTGCAACGACAGGCAGCTTGGGGAGGGGACGGCAAAGGCACCCACCTCCCGCCCCCACCGCGGCAGCCCGGGGAAGCAAGGTAAATTCTGCTGGCCCCAAGTGTCTGCCGGGGCAGGTACGGGTAGTGCTGCCCCAAAGGATCCCTGACAGAAGATGGTCAGCCCGGCTGCATGGGGCTCAACATGCAAAAGAAGCCAAACCTGACAGCCGGGACCTGCCTTCGCAGTCCCGCCTCAGCCTAGCTCCTTCTTAGAAAGGGTGGCAGCAGACCTTGGCGGGACACAGCGAGAACCACGACAGCGGGGAACATCAGCAAAAGCCCTCTGGCACTACAAAGGCACCCACCTCCCGTGGCAGCCCGGGGAGGCAGAGCAAGCTCAGCTGGGACCACGGGGGACATCAGCAGAAGCCATCTCGCATGGCAAAGGCAGCCCTTGGCATTGCTGCTTTCCTGAGGGCTGACCACTGTCCGTGCACGGCAGAAGGGAGAAACCCCCCACCGACCCTGACCTTGTGCAGATCTGCCTTGATGGCTGCCAGGATTTCCTTCTCCTTCTCCTGCACCATCCGCTCCAGGGCCTTCAGCTGCTGCATCCTGAACTCCAGTGAGCGGCACCGGCCTGAGTTGAAGGCAGCCCTCGCCCGCCCAACGACCTGCTGCATCCTCTCCATGGCTGCTCAGTGCTGCGGGGAGAGAGCAGCAAAACCCAGCTCAC